GCATCATGGGATATCATCAGCCATGCATCATGGGATATCATCAGCCATGCATCATGGGATATCATCAGCCATGCATCATGGGATATCATCAGCCATGCATCATTGGACTGCAACTGCAGCCATGCATCATGGGTCAGCAACAGCCATGCATCATATGCATACGATGTCACACCATCATCTAAGTGTATCACCATCTCATCTTGGTACATCACCGCATCATGCCATGACATCCAACCATCATAAAGCTGTCACGCCAACTATGGTGCAGTCTCATACAGTCTCTCATAYGGCCAGTCACGTGAGTTCCAACATACAGCCTTCGTCATCTGGCCTATCAATGTTATCCTCATCAGGTTAGCGATAATCTACTAAATATACATTTCTAATTCTAATTCAAWCGTTTTTATATTTTCATGTAGATGCCATAATATCTTGGGGAAGCTGGTACAACGTTGGAGAATGCCTCAATGTTTGCTGTGGGATTGGTGGTCATGTGACACAAATCAGRTCATGCGCAGTTCATATGCGTGAAAATTCAACGTTACATCCTTGTAGTTACTATGGCAGCAGCTCTAGGAAGGTCACGTGCGCTGAGGCATGCCCAATGTGTAGTGGAGGTTAGTTTTATAAATTCTTGACTGAGCAATGAGGCTGAACAGAATCATGGGAAGTTCATATGAAATTCATGATATCGATTSACTGCGACATCTTGAAAGGTAACCATACCTTAGCATACCTTAGCATTAGCGTGAGCCTGACCCTACTCTCCGATCAAATAACCCCCGGGTCAAATAGACAAATATCCACCAAAATAAGGGCTATCGCAAATCCAGCATTCCGATTGGCTACTGAACTATGGTCTATCGTAGATAGACCATGGTTTTACCGAAGGAAGCAAAAAATAGTCGAATGAATGTCATTATTATAAATTTGCCCTATACTTTGGTTCCGTCTCGTTTTAACTTATAAACGCCGCAGGTATATTAATGTTGAAAATGGTATTAAAATTGTAGGTTCTACAAGAAACCTTTTGGGAGGTCTTGTCGTTATAATAAGGTTAGTATAAAATCCACTGCTGTTAGCCTTCTACGCAGACGCCTCTCGTCCTCTTTCTGCTCTTCTTTCCAATTTTGGGCTTCCAGTCTTCCTCAATATGATCAAAGGAGGCTGTTCCCGCTCTACGGAGCAGAGCAGCTAGATTTAGTCAAGCCTTGTCGACAAGTTTGAAGCATCTATAAAGCATCCGGTAATGTTATTTAATTATTCTGCTTATTTAACACAGAAATATGAGACTGCAGGTGTAATAGTCTCTCGTACCCCTAGGCCTACATTTCGCTGTAAAAGTAGTTTTCAAAAATTCATATTCTTACAGACTTAATGAAAATTTGCCCGATTTTTACAAAGCGTACGTACGGTTTAGTATCTTGGGTTATTTTGTCTTAGATCGAAGAGAAAAAGGTTTGAGGTCCCAAATGGCTATGGAGACAAGGTCTTTGCAGGGAAACTCGCCGCTGCGTTGCGTTGTTATGACGACGGCCATTTTATTTACTTCTAACTCTGGTTTTATTCTTTTTCAGCCTTCTGGCAGCCTCTTTGTACAACTAGTTCCATATTACAAGAGTGATATACAAAACACAAATATTACGAAAAGCATTACTACCTTYCMA